ACAAGGAGCTGCTTCTTTTTAATGTCCACTTGTTAAGATGAGACTGAAGTCTCTAAAAAATTCTGGTTTTGACATTGCACTTGCAAATCTCCAGACAGGCCAGGAGACTGAGAAAAGGGGGAACAGTTGAGCTTTCACTTGATTGAGTTACAGAAAAATTCAATCCACCAGCATTAGCTGCATTTATTATCTCCTTCTATGTCATCTCTCTTGTACTTTCCTTAAAACAACCCCTTCTTGCCTCCATCAGGCACCACAATGTCATAAAGCCTTTGGAAAAGCCACTCTCCACACCAGATCTACTACAACTGCAAAGACAAACTTTTGTCTTTTATGCCACATTGCATTAATCGTCTCCTACTTCTCAAGCTCAGTAAAGCTTTTAACTCACAATAAAAATTTTTTTTTAGAAAACACAAAACCAAAAAACAAAACAACCAAAACCAAAGCCAAAGCTGTCTGCATCCTTTACAAAAGAGGGTACATAAACTCCAGTGTTGAAACTGGCTACCTGGGGGCACTGGAGTCTGTCCATGCACATCCACTTGCAAGATCAAAGTGCTCCCAGGCTTTCTATTAAGCACAGTGCTATGAAATAATATTCTTTAATATCATATAAAATATGCAACTATATCCTAAAATCCCATCCTAGGGTCTGGTTCTGATTACTCAGGGCCAAGTGTCCAAGTGTCACATTGAAAAATGGTACATTTAAAATACATTTAAAATAAGAATGAAAAAATGAGAAAAGCATGGGCAAAAATATTCCATGTAATTGGAGGAGGGAAATCAATTTGAGCAGAGTTTTCTTAAAAATAAAGGCTCCTAAAACCAATCCAGAGATTCAGAAACATAGCTTTTAAAACCTGTCACCAGTGGAATAAGTCTGGAGCCAGGAAAGCACTAATACTGACGACATCACCCTTTACCTACAGACAAACAGACCACAAGACAGGGGAAAGCCTGCCATGGAAATGCCCAAGGGCTGCTGGTGGAGTCTGATTCAGGCAATTCCTGCCTCCAGGCTTTAGCCTCCTGCCAGCACAGGCTGTGTGGAACAGGTACAGGAGAAAAAGCCCAGAGGCGAAAGCAGAGGAGAGGGCTCAGGGCTGGAGTTGAGGCTGAGAAGCAGCTTGGTACCAGGAACAATGGAAGGGAGACCTGGGCTCAGGGCTGAGGGCTGATGGAGTTGGAAGAGATTCACTGGGAGAGGATCTTCATTTACAGTGACATTCTGGAACTTTCCTGGAACCCTGCAGACTGTCCAGCAAGCCAGCTGGCAGAGGAGCAGCAGTGGAAGTTCTCTGCCTGAGATGATAAAGATACCCCAGCAACAATGCAAAGGGCAGCCAGGTGTGCAGGGCCCCAGCACACAGCCTGCTGCACACACAAATCTGGTTTTCCAGGCTCCATACTCAGCTTTCCCCATGACTTCTGCAGTCATCACACTTAAGAATGTGATTAGCCCCAAGAAAGGGGTTAAAGAGCTGATCTTGTAATATCTTTAGAGTCAGTAGCAAGACTAAACTGTTTCTTAATCACAACGACAGCCTTAAATAACTCACATATTAAAAGCAACATTCTCATCACCATATATTCCAGTGCAAGATAAATAAAAAATAATCAAATCATCAATCAAAAACAAATACACAGAAGTAATTATTCTGATACATGTATTAATCCTGAATTGTTAACGCCTCCAAAAAAATCAAAACAAAATGCAGTTTCAAAGGGGTTGTTTATTTACAGACTGCTGCACTTTACAAGGAAAAAAACTGAAGAATTAGAACCCTCAGTGACTACCACTGTTCCACACATACTAGAAGCACCTCAGATTCTCACCTAGCTCTTCTAAAAGACAGGCAGCTGCCTAAAACTCAGTGCAAGAAAAAGAGCTCAAGTTCATCTGTCATTATAACTGAAAACAGCCTGTTTCTTGGATTTTAAATTTTGGAAGGATGAAGAGATGTGAACCTGAATAATGCATTCCAGTACCAAACTCCACAAGCAGTAGCTACCAAATAAATAGATTTATATTTTAAAAATATATTTAAAGTTGTTACTACCTCAAAGTAGCTTCTCCCTTTAGTCAGCAGCCCTCAAGAAACAAGATTTGATAAAACATCTGTCATTGTTTCACATGTACATTTACTAAATGGAAAAGGTTCAGGAGTTTTGGAAGAGACTTTTCTCCCCAGGTATCAACTAACTAAACATTCAAATGAGAAATCCTATAATTATTCATGGCAGTATTTAATCATAAGGAACAACTTTATCAAAGCAAAACAGAGAGTTGGAAAACACATAGGAGAGTTGGAAAACACACAGGAATGAGCTCCAACAAAAGAATCTCTCTGATCATTCCTTGCACTTTCTTGCCACCAGAAAGCTGTTAGGCACTAACTCCCAGGACATTCTTGACCAGGAAAGAGCCAGGGCCATGCAAATGTCTTGAAGCCCAGGGCCAGGTTCCAGTTCGCTGGCTACAACATCTTTGAGATTTCTGCCCAGCGGGAAAAGCAGCTCCCGAACTTGATGAGATACAGAAGCTTCAGAAGACAGATGCCCTAAGAAAAGGTGGGCTTCCTGTTGGCCCTCTCTGACCTTCTTTTCAGCTTCCCAGCAGTTTTCCTTACAGGCCATCCATAGGAGTCTCCACAGCAATGGCACCTCAAGGTTTCCCAGCAGCCAAACCAGCACAAGGAGCTGGTGATGCCTCTGATGCTGTTTGCTCCCCTCCAGGCTGCAGGCTCCAAATGTGCAACAATACCCCTGCCTGTACCTAGTTTAATACCACAGAAGCAGGCTCAGAGGGTAGTAAAGAATTACTTTTTCAACACTTCTATCTTTCATGATGTTAGCATGGTGTCCAGACATACCTCCACAATGAATAAGGTCTCAAACAAGTATTTGTTTTCCTTATGAGATGTTAACTATTTATCAAAAGGACTTCTAAAATGGGATCAGATGCTTTATTCCTTGGGAACTCATCTTTCATTCTTATTCCAGGAATATAAACTAAGGCCACTAATACAAGAGTACCTGACAGTACACTTTAAGGATTTCATTTTGTTCGAATTCAAGTCACTGTAATCTTGCCTTCTGCTTTTGCCAGAAAGATACCAAACCCTGACAACTTTTGAGATCCAACAAAAGAACCCTGCAAGGTGCCCCTGACTCCCATAGCTAATGTAAAATAACAGTGGGCAAAGACTTTTCTCATCTTCTTAAAACAGCAATCTTCGTAAGGGATGGCTAGAATTCTTATTCACCAGAATAAGAAACAAGCCCCAAACCCTTTTGAAATCAGATTTATACAGAGATACATGTATAGACAGGCAACTTACTTAAATCATTGCTCCAGCCCTCACTAGATTGAGATCATAAAAGGCACACCAGTTATCTGCTAGACAGTGATGTCACAAAATATTTGTTTTAATAAAAGGACCAATTTTATTTTAAAACTTGGATCTAGCACATCCAGAAAAGGCCAAAATGAACAGCTCTCATTGCAATTATATAACTACAAAGTACTTTTAAAGACACAGGTGGGAAAGATGGTAAAATATTTGTGTGCCATCTAAATAAATTGTAACAGCCATATTTGCAGACATTCTCCTCTTGTCCAGCATCCGAAAAACTAAAACTTGTGGAAAAGCAGCTCATGACCAGAAACAGCCAAGTAGGATAATATACACAAATGCACATTTCCACATTACTATCCAGAGCCTGATCCTTGCAAATTTAACCTTCAGACCAACACCAGCTGTGTGCAGAAGAAAGTTTCAGGCCTCTGAATCAATTATTTGTTCTGCACAAACAAGAAATCAGTTCTGAGGTCAAGTTACCGACCAGATTACATTAAAATAGTTATTTTAAAAAGAAATACAATGCAATTAAAGTTAGCTTGGCACTTTGATTGCTCTCTTAAAATAGAAACTTTCTGCATTTTTACAATGCTGAGCTGTGAGAAGCCTGTTGATACAGGATCTCTCTCCGGGAGCTGCCAAAACCAGGACTGCAAAAGGACTCAGACTAACCTCTTCCTACAAATAAGGCATAAATTATTCCTATAGCCACGATGTCCCCTTGGCAAACAGAGATCACTTGTGTAAGCTACAGGAGTGTCATTAACTCACCAAGAGATGGAAAACAAAACAAAGATTCAAGAGCCACAGCAAAGTAATACAAAAGGCCTGGTATTAAGATGCCACTCCCATAAAGAAAGGAAATGTTTTCTTAAGAAAAGGTGGTTCCTCAAGAATTTAAGTGATAGATTTTTAATAAAACAATTCTAAAAACCTGTTGTAAATAAAATAACAGAAAGTTGCAAATATTTACACCAGTGGTTTTCTTTTTCGTTTGCTTGTTAGATGTCATTGTATTTGAGAAAAGACTGATAGCTTTATTAGATCTGGGAAACAAGTATCAAAACAAAATTGAGACACACCAAAACACAATCAATTCATGAATACCACATGGCAAACCCACCACTGATCTATAGCACATTTTCAAACTGTCATTCAGGTAATCAATTACCAGGCACTTCTTTTTCCTCTTTTAAGCCCAGGAACTTTGGCCAAGCAGAGTGGATCTGCCAGATGCCAGCAGCACAACAGCTGGTAGAAGTGCTCCCGCAGCTCCTCTTTCTAAAAATGTTCAATTTGGTTCACGACATCCCACGACAGCAATACAACAAAATCAAATCCCTCCTAAACTGAGCCAGTCTGCCGGCAGAAAGCATCGAAGAATTTAGGAACAACTTGTAAAGCCGGTATAAAACTTTGTTTATTCTAAAAGTAGAATTTCCTTGGCAAATTAGTGCTGGCTTCATCGGGAATTCCAATCGCTGTACTTTACTAAAGCTACATCGCAAGCGGGAGGAAGTAAATTTGAAAAAGGATTATACTGAGAAATGCTCCTTTAAATAAACCGGAGACCTCAGCCAGAGACACCCACCCGGCACAGGCACCCGCCCGCAGCCGAGCAGCGCAATTTACCTTCGCACCGAACGAGGGGGACTCGCCAAGCAGGGCGGGGTCCAAATCCTACTGCGAAAAAATCTCCGGAAACTGAGCGGCCACCGGGGCAGGAGGGAGATAAAACAAAAACCGGGAAAGGCCGCGGCGCCCTGCGCTGC